GCCTGTGGGCACAGTGCTGGGCTGTGTCAGCTACAGGAACAGGTTGATAGAGCTCACACCTCACACTTCAGGGCCTGTGGGCACAGTGCTGGGCTCTGTCAGCTACAGGAACAGGTTGATAGAGCTCACACGTCACACTTCAGGGCCTGTGGGCACAGTACTGGGCTGTGTCAGCTACAGGAACAGGTTGATAGTGCCACACCTCACACATCAGGGTCTGTGGGCACAGTGCTGGGCTGTGTCAGCTACAGGAACAGGTTGATGGAGCTCATACCTCACACTTCAGGGCCTGTGGGCACAGTGCTGGGCTGTGTCAGCTACAGGAACAGGTTGATAAAGCCACACCTCACACTTCAGGGCCTGTGGGCACAGTGTTGGGCTGTGTCAGCTACAGGAACAGGTTGATAGAGCTCACACCTCACACATCAGGGCCTGTGGGCACAGTGCTGGGCTGTATCAGCTACAGGGAACAGGTTCATAGAGCCACACAGCACACTTCAGGGCCTGTGGGCACAGTGCTGGGCTGTGTCATCTACAGGAACAGGTTCATAGAGCCACACCGCACACTTCAGGGCCTGTGCATGTGCTGGGCTGTGGCCTTCCCTCTAGGAAGTCCTGGGTCCAGGGATTACAGAACCAAAGCTAGCACCTCCAAGTTTCCAGGTATACCTCAAAGAGTATCTGCAAACTGTCCCTGTTCCCCGTGCCTCAGGCAATGAATTAAGTCGCACCTTTACTACCTCTAGTCCTGTAGCTGTGGTCACCAGTGTCGCAGGCACACATCACACACACACATCCACACACACACACACATACACACACCTACAAAGCACAGAGTCACATGCACACACCACAGAGATACGCACACACACCACACATCCTAGAGACACACACCCCACATCCCACACTCACTGCAGAGACATCCACACACACCACGCCTGCCACACACACCACACACTCGACACACAGACACTCATACAGACACACATAGCTCTCACCCAGCCATATCTAGTCTCTCATTATGTGCTGGCTCCTGCCAATCATTTCTACAACTGGCCAGGTGGAGATCTGTGTCACAGAGGTACAATGAACGTGCTCCTGAAACACCTGTCAGTAAGGCTTAGTTTGTGATTTGCATGTGAGAGCTGATGGGGACAAGATTGAGGTGTCCCAACAGCGGGGCCACTCAAGCCATGGAGTGGGATCTGGAAGTCATGGACTCTAGGCATGCTGCAGAACGAGGCCCACGGGAGGGCCCCTGGGGCGTCCTCCTGCATGGAGGTGCAGGTGGAAGCCAGCAGGCTCAGGCCTATGTCTGGAGCAAGTGCAGATATAAAAAGTGTGACCGTCATTCTGTCACCCAACACACTTAAATCTGATGGGCACTCCTTGGGCGTGGTGGGGTGAGGGGTGCTCGCGCTGGCCACCTGCAGCACCCAGGGTTCTGCAGAGGTGAAACAGCAGAGTGTTGGACAGTCGGGCGCCCTGGTGCCCCGGGGCCCTGCTGGGCTGGGTGTTCCTCTGCTGTCTCGGGGAAGGCTGCCATCTGTCCCCTTCTCCCCTCCAGGCACGGGCGCTTCAAGCGCTCTAACAGCGTCACGGCTGCTGTCCAGGCCGACCTGGAGCTGGAGGGCTTCCCGGGACACATCACCATGGAGGACAAGGGCCTCCAGTTCGGCTCGTCCTTCCAGCGGCACTCGGAGCCCAGCACCCCGACGCAGTACGGGGCGGTGCGGACTGTGCGGACGCAGGGCCTCTTCAGCTACAGGGAGGACTACAGGACCCAGGTGGACACCGCCAGCCTGCCCCCGCCTGACCCGTGGCTGGAGCCCTCCCTGGAGGCCACGGACACTGGAAGGGTGTCCCCGTGCCGCAGGGACGGCTCCTGGTTCTTGAAACTGCTGCACACGGAGACCAAGAGGATGGAAGGCTGGTGCAAGGAGATGGAGGGGGAAGCGGAGGAGAACGACCTCAGCGAAGACAGTAAGTGCCCGGCGGCCGAGGAGCAGGAAGGGGACATGGTGAGGGACACAGAGCGGGGGCGGGGAGAGCGGTGGCCTGGCAGGGGCCGCGAGGCTCCTGTGTGTGTGTGTGTGTGTGTGCACGTGCRTGTGCCAGGGCGGTTCTGTTTGGCTGGAAGCTTGAACCTGAGATGGTCGGTGCCGGTGCTTCTCCTGAGGGATGGCTCTCTCCCTGCTGCTCACCGGTTCTGTTGACCTTGGAGAATGCTCTGACTTGACCCCGTTGATAAAAGCCTGCCTTGGCATTGCGCGTGGAAGGAAGCAGTGGGGGGCAAAGGGTCAACTCTCAGCTCCCAGGAGGGGCTCTGGCCATGGGGTTGCTGGAACTCTGATGTCCCCAGCCACGGGTCTCCAGTGCAGACCTGTCCCCAATACCCTGTGCTCACCCAGGCCTCTGCTTCCTTGGAAAGAGACAGCACCCGACTCTCAACTCCTGCCCCACCCACCTCGCCTCCCTCAAAGAAACCATCCCACCCGCAGGGTCGGAGAGTGGTTGGGAGCAAGAGGAGGCAGGAGGGGGAGCAGAGTGGACTGGCCGATTCAGGAGACAGTGGTGGCCAGGCCTCCACCCCGTCCACGGCCCCATAAATGTCAATGACGCTTTATTCCGACATCGTTGGAACTTACACCTTTTGGGAAATGTTCCATACATTCTGCTCTAGCTTTGAATGTGCAAATACCAGGCTTTGAACATGGCCACTGCTGTATCTGTAAGACAACAGCGCGGCACTGGCTGGGTCATTCTTCCCCACACCTCCTGAATCCTCTGATTTTGATCCCTTGCCATGGATCACGGTTGTTTTAAAGGATCCTTTTATAAAAAGGACACCACTAGGGCAGAACTTACTGGAGACTGCTGCACACCAGGTGTGTGCTAGTGCTCACCCAGGCGCTTGGAGGCTCCTGCCCCTGAGATGAGCAGATGTCACTGCCCACACGGCAAGGAAGGCACTTGACACCACACCCCAAATGCACCACTATTCTTGGAGCCAGAGCTAGGTCTTGAGGGGTGCCGTCTGGCTCAGGGCCGTGCTGCTTGGCCCCCAAAGCTACTGAGTCAAAATGCTCCATTGCTGAGACTCCTCCCCCCCTCCCCCTCCCCCTGTGATGCCTCCTCCCTCCCAGGGTTCTTGGTGCACCTTCCTCTGCTTCTTCAGAAGACAAGGACCCCCTCCCTAACCACAGCTTCCTGTGATCCACCCATCTGCTCCAGAAAGTCCCACAGACTTGGGTCCCTCAGCCTGGGCCATGGGAATGGGAGGAAAGTTGGACACTGGTTCTTTCTCGCAGTAAGGACCCAGGACTGCAGGAGGCTTCCTTAGTACCACAACACGGGGCGGCAAGAGGGGCTCTGGGCGATGCCAGGACCACTCCATCTGCCGGGCAGGCTTGGCCTCCACCGGACCCCGGTCAGCAGTGGAGCCATCATCCCTGGAAGAAGTGTGCAAGCTCCCCGGGTGCTCCCCGGTGCCTGACGGGTTCTGACTGAGCCCCTGCCTGCACTTGTTTCCCCAGGCGGGTTTTAACTGGTTAACGTCTTCTGGGCTCTCGGGGAGGTGCACACTCAACAAATGTTGAAGGAATACTCGCTGTGGGTAAGCCACTCTCCAGCGAGCGGGACGCAGCACAGAACCTGACCTGGAGGAAGGCCCGGCCCAGAACCTGAACACGGGAGAAAGGAGACCAGGAGCAACTGTTTGCAGGAAGTGCAAAATACCAGCGTGATCAGAAAGTGCAGACCAGGGGCCTAAGCCTCAGAGATCTGAGGTGTTTTTAGGTGGGGTAATGTCCAGGTGGTTTCCTGGAGCAGGTGGCTCTGTGAGGGGCTCTGAAGGACTCTGGTCAAGCAGGGCCAGGCAGAACAGAAAGAGAGATTCAGGGACAGGCAGAGGCACAGACCTGGGGCTGGGACCTGTCACCTGCTCTTCAAATATCGCCCTTCACAACCACCCGACAGAGAGGTTGGCTAGGTGCCTCCTCAGAGTCCGTGTGGCTCCCTGTGGCTCCATTCCCCTGGACCATGGAGTCCCAAAGGACTGGACAGGCCTCTGTGATGGGCGACATTGGCCATCACTAATAGTGGGGGGTGCACGGTCACTCCAGTGGCCCGGCACACAGCACCCTGCTGGTGAGGAGCAGTCCAGGCCAGCGAGACAGACATTCGTCACACCTTGTGGAACCACGTCTTCCCAGATCCCAAGGAGTCACCCCTTGTCCTTGGGCATGGGGCTGCAGTGTCTGTGCAGCCTCAGTCTACAGATGTCAGGTCAGTGACCTCGCGGAGTATGACTGCACTGCTGTGAGCCTGGGAGACTGGGCACTCTGTGGCCCCCTCCATGTCTGCAGTCTCCCACTTCAGGCCGGCAGAGGTGACAGGAGCACGTCACATCTCTCATCGGCATGCTTAGCACGTGAGGCTGGCACAATATTAATCAAGTTCAGATATCTCCCTAATAATTTTTAGAAGGTAAGCAACCTCCAATTCTAGTCCCAATTTTAGCAATAGATAGAGTCATTGGTCTCAGCACTTTTAAAAATAAAGATTAAGTTAAATGTCTTATTAAACCAAAAGTCTGAGCACTAAATATTGAAATTTCCATTGCACGATATAATTCTCACCCGACTATAATTTTATGATCACCGTTCGCTGAACTGATTGAAGGAATCTAGATTTGTCTAATCCTCTGTGCCTAACAAAACACCAAATGCAAACGGGTTTACATCAAGTCCTGGACTCAGGCCTCGTTGTCAGTACCCAGGGCAAGAAGGACTGAGGAGACGGGAACGTGGAGACCAGGCACCCCATGGCTGGGATCCGCCACTGGCAGGGGTCCGCAGGAGGGTGCAGCGCAGCCCTCTGAACAGTGTTGCTGAACCTCCCGTCCTGAGCAGCTCCCGCAAGGGCTAATACCCCACATGTCCACCCAGCCGAGGACCAGCTGAGAGGACCCTGGCACTCATTACCCAAGGCTCCTGAGACTACCAGGTGCCTCGGGAACTCAAGCCACCCCAACACCAGAGGGGGTCAGACACAGGGCACTGGGTCTCCAGGACATCTTACGTGGTGAAGCGCAGCCGTCTCTGGAAGGGAGTGCCCAGCTGCAGTGGACATGCACACAGGGCAGACCTGAGAGGGGAGGAAGCACACACTCAATGCAGGGTTAGCCAGGTGCACTGAAGAGGAGCCAGGCCGTTTCAGCTCCAGGCCCTCACAGACGGTCCTCCCCAGCAGAACACATGGCCACGCGCACAGCCAAGATGGCCAAGCGCACAGTGTGCTTCCAGATTCCCAGGGGGCACGGAGCGCAGCCTGCTTCTGCCTTGTGGATCCAGCTGTCGAAGCCCATCCCTTGACACAGCAAGCTCTGAAGATGCCCCCTGACACCCCACGACCGAGCAGCCATGGGAAGAAGCACGCCCTGGAAACCAGGAGATGAGGAGGCCTGAGGGGCAGGGGCTTCTGGGAGCAGAGAGTTTGTGAACACAAATGGCCACTTCAAACTCTGCAGATCCTATAAAAGTCCACTTCAAATTCTGGAACATGAGAGTCGTATAAATACTGTCCTGGTGCTTCATAGCAAAGTAGCACAACTGGAAGGAAAATCAACTGTAAGAGCCAGTACGTCCATCAAGTCTCGTCATCCAAGGCAGGGCTGCCTCCGTCTCTGTAAATCTCTATTCCGGGGAGCACTTGTCCTTACCCACAGCTCCGGAGAGGAACCATGGCTACGTGGTGGCAGAATTAGGGAAGGACAGAGGAAAAGGAAAAGTTGGATTTTCACTTCAAACTCCCTGCCGCGGTAGGAAGCCGTCTACACTATGGGTAACAGAGTCCTTCCCGACCCCCAAGCCGTGGCGTTCTGCCGTGAGTGATCAGGCCATCAGCCGCTCTGTCCAGCACTCTTGCTCTCCCCTGGCCACATCCAGTTTATACCTCGGTAACAACTCTCCACTACATTAAATCAGTGCCAAGATATCGCCGTCTACTCACATTGTGCTGAAGATCATGAATTGAAGTGCTTTCTATCAGTGCTCCAGCAGAATTGCACTGTAAGAGAAATGTGAACAGGAGGAAGTCATCTTCAAATTTCATCCACCCACTGACTGTTTAATTACAGGCTGAAGAAGCAGCGTCAGTCAAACAAGTGCCCTCGGCCCTGCTTCTACCCGCGGCAGGACAACTTGACTACAGCAAGCCCCTGAAACCTTGGCCGATCACTCGGGTTACCGAATACAAACCAGAAGCTGAGCCTCTCAAGAGCAGCGATGGCCCCCGCTGGGCGCCAGCCAGGCCAGGCCGCCAGGGCAAGCTCAGTTCTCTACCAGTGTGCCAAGGAAGAACAATAGGCCCTCCCCTTGCAGACGCCACCCCCAGCCGCCGCGCTCCGCTACTCTCCCCACAGGCCTCTCCCAGAGCCTCTCCAGGTACTTGGTGCAGGGTCGTCATCATGCTGGGCAGAGAATCAGAGGACAGGCAAAAGAGAAGACCAACGGGCACCTCGGAGTACCTGCTCCATGAGGGGAGGGCCTCCACAGACAAGCTCCAGAAAGGGGCCCACCCAGAACTCCCCAACCAAGGTGACCCCACTGAGCCCATGGTACTAACCAAGTCCTCATAAGATACTTAGACCACAGCACCCTGCTATGTGGGCAGGAGCCCACTCCTGTGGTGACCAGGGGCGGAATGCCAGGTGACCATGCTGACATGCTCTGTGGAGGAGCTCTGAGCAGGCACCTTCACGTGGACTGTGGCAGAGATGCACGGTCCAGTGGAGAGAAAGGCCCAGTCGGCTCCTGCATGGCTGTGGGGCCCAGGCGGGCTGGGATCCGCCAAGGCGCTGTGTCCAGAGCGGCACTGTGCTCACTACACCAGGGGTGGGGCCAGCAGGGTGTGGTGAGAAAGTCCCTGTGCCTGGGGASGCGTGGCTCTCCTCACACTTCTTGGCCAAGACTTTATTTGCCCAGTTAATCTGCAAAGGACCACACTTATTTTGCGGTAATTTGTTAAATCCCTCCTGTGGCTGAAACTGGATTGTTGACTTTCTGAGCTTGCTATTTGGTTTAGCAGATGAAGACCAGCAGGTGCGGATGGCGGCAGACAAGCTGGGTCTTCCCGTCTTTTGTCCTTTGAATGCCCCCATGGGCAGGGTTGTCTTTATGCAGATACCAGGTGCACTGGGAGCCTGATGGTGAGAGCCTGTGTGGCTTGTGACCAGTCTCCATGCCCGAGGCCTTGCCCTGTGGCCTCCCAAGGCTTCTCCATGTTTCAGGTGCATCTCAAAGCACTGCATGAGATCTCTGCCCACAGTTCACAAAGACTGACCAAGGCCAGTGAGATGACAGGTATCAATGCACTTTTCTCAAAGCCCAGGAATTGGCATCTCCTCAAGGTCACAGGACCTCCTGGAGCCCAGATGACCTAGGAAGGGCTTACAGTGTGTTCTGCCCCCCACTCTTCTCCGGCTCGCCTCAGCACCTGCACTAGAACACTCTCGCCCACAGCAGGGTCCCCACAGGCAGCCCCCGTTACTGAGCTCCGTTTCCCCAGTGCCCAGGAGCAGAGGCTCCACAGCTGGCCCCTGCCTGTCCTCCAGCTTTCTCTGGGCTGGAAGGGAGCCGGCAGTCAGTCTGTCTCCTCAGGGGCAGGAGCTCCCACAGGCAGGCGCGAGGGCTGTGCCCTGGCTGACCGGGCCTGACCTGCCCTGTTTCCCACAGCTCTCGGGAAGATCCGGAGTGCCGTGGGGAGTGCCCAGCTGCTCATGTCGCAGAAGTTCCAGCAGTTCTATTGGCTCTGCCAGCAGAACATGGTGAGTGCACCTCAGGTGGCTCGTCCACCAAACAGCTGACGCATGTCCATCTACACACACTCACGGTCTCCTAATCTGCTAAAGCATGTGTGTGCAGGGGGACACTGGGTGAGTTCATGAAGAGGGGGCTGGCTGGCCCTGGGGACCCACACTCCACTCCTGGGACACAACCCCATCCCTGGGGACTCACACTCCATCCCTGGGACTCATATTCCATCCCTGGGGACTCACACTCCATCCTGGGACTCACATTCCATCCCTGGGACTCACACCCCATCCATGGGACTCACACTCCATCCCTGGGACTCACACTCCATCCCTGGGGACTCACAC